CAGATCTACTTTATTACTCAGGTCTCAGTTCACATGTCACCTCCTCATATGTGCAGTCCCAGACCACCCAAACTGCTATACTGGCCTGTATGCAATACCATTCCACTCAATCTCCATGAAATGGTGTTATTTTCTTTTAAAAATGTACTTATATTTACTAAAATTACATTATTTATTTTTCAACTTAATTTANATTGATGTTATTATTTCCTTTAAGAAAACATTCCAAAATGATATAGTCGGAATGATACCGTTAAAGTAGAACTGCACACCCGCGTTACTAACAGAGAAAAAATGACGTTTCTTCTGGATAAACCCAGCATGTGGCCTAACAGCAGCTTCAATTCCTTCCTGTTGACTGGTTTTCCAGGCCTGGAGGCAGCTCACCACTGGATTTCCTTTCCCTTCTTTTTTGTCTATATCTCTATCCTCATTGACAATGGAATCCTCCTTCTTCTCATTAAGGAAGATCACAACCTCCATGAGCCCATGTACTATTTCCTGGCCATGCTAGCAGCAACAGACCTAGGGCTGACCTTGACCACAATGCCCACAGTGCTGGGCGTCCTCTGCTTGGACCACAGGAAGATTGCAGATTCAGCCTGCTTTTCCCAAGCCTACTTCATACACTCACTTTCCTCTGTAGAGTCTGGTGTTTTGCTTGCCATGGCCTATGACCGTTTTATTGCTATCTGCAGCCCTCTTAGATATACTTCTATACTCACCAATACTCGAGTGGTGAAGATAGGGCTGGGAGTTCTGATGAGGGGATTTGTATCTATTATCCCCCCAATAATGCCCCTCTATTTTTTCCCTTATTGCCACTCCCATGTCCTTTCCCATGCATTCTGCCTTCACCAAGATGTCATCAAACTGGCCTCTGCTGACACTACCTTCAATCGACTCTACCCCATTGTACTCGTGGCCCTTATATTTGTGCTGGATTCTTTGATTATCCTCATCTCCTATGTGTTGATCCTGAAGAGTGTCCTAAGCACAGCCTTCAGAGAGGAGAGGGCTAAGGCCCTCAACACCTGTGTCTCCCATATCTGCTGTGTCCTGGTTTTCTATGTCACAGTGATTGGATTGTCTATGATTCATCGGTTTGGAAAGCAGGTTCCACATATCGTCCACCTCATTATGAGTTATGTCTGTTTTCTGTTCCCTCCATTAATGAATCCTCTAATATACAGCGTCAAGACCAAGCAGATCCAGAATGGCATCCTTCACCTTTTTACTACCCATAGAGTGGGAATCTGATCTCCGATTATTATAGTCTCTGACACAGAATGTATAAACTCTGTTTATTGTCGAGGGAATAAAGAAGTCTCATATCTACCACCTGTGCTTAGGCATCTTGGCAAAATAGCTGTCGAAGTAGACCTTCAAATTGCCCTAAAGTTTCTGTTTAAGCCCAGAACTTTGGCCTAATCTAGTTTGTGCATTTTGTTTGTTTGTTTGTTTTGGC